CATGTTTTACCGGCTACAGGTACACTTGAAGACACTGCAGGCAGCTTAAAGCTGGCTAAATCCAGAAGCTGGGTTTTCTGTAATGGAGGAATTAATGGCGAAACCCAGTCTGATGATGATAATTGGATGACAGAGAAAGGATTCTTAGTGGAAAATAAAGTTTCTTCCCTGTGCCAACAAGAGATACCTCACAAGTTTCTTGTCGTTTTCTTGCTATTAAGTCAAGTTAAAGATGGGAAAGACATTTTGCTGGAGACCTTTAATATGTTTTTACAGAAGCTTGGAGGACAAAACCAAATCTTATGCATCTGTGACAATGAAGCAACATACAACTACTGGAGGGATCTCATTAGGGGCCGATATAACGTCGACATCTTAAAATGCATTTACGACCTGAGCTTTGCTGAAGTCAATGGCACTGTGCTCAGCCTGTGGTCTAAAGACCGCAAAATAAAACGGTTTCTGCCTTGTGGTGGCGGCAGCAATGTTGTGCTCTATAAGATAACAGAGGAACGCTTAAGTTTGCTGAGTATTCTTTGTGTGAACCAGTGTGAAGGAGAAAATGAGGATCAAAAACTACATGAGGAGAACTTTTACAAGGGAGGAGAGGCAACTTGGTGGAACTTCTACTACTCAGAACAGCGTCAGAGACAGAACAAGCCAGTTTCAGTCATTAAACGGGACAAGTTTGACCACATAGTCAATACTCTTATTCCGAAGATGCTGAATGAGAAAAGAGCTTGTGCGTGTATCAACATCTTCCATATGGAAGGCTGTGGTGGCACTACACTGGCCATGCATGTTCTGTGGACACTCAGGGATGAGTTTCGTTGTGCGGTGCTGCAGGACTCAACAGATGATTACACAGCAGAAGCAGCTAAACAGATAGTACAATTACTAACATATAAGGCAAAAGGGAAAGCTACACGACTTCCTGTATTGCTCAAGACAGAGTTTCAACACTATGGGAATGTACAAAGACTTCAAGATCAAATTGAGAAGGAATGTTTAAACCAGGATGTTTTTTCAAGAAGTCCACAAGTCATTATTGTCAACTGCATCAGAGTGGATGCCTGTAGACACATTGAAGATGCTGGCAATGCAGTTTTCATTCCACAGTACTTGTCTGAAAGGGAACGAAAACTATCTGAAGAAAAGCTGAAGGAGTTGAAGGAGACCAACTCTGAAACAGTTTACTCGAACATGTTCATGACCCAATTTTCATTGAAATGTATTCAGGATGTTGTGAAAGAGACACTGAAGGGCTTCAACTTTAAACACAAGCATGCTCAGCTTTTTGCTATTCTTGTCCTCTTGAACATCTACCGGAGAAACGCAGTGCTGTCAGTCTCTACATGTCAAGAGGTTCTTGGTTTGCCAACAAAAGCTAAGGTTGAAGATGGATTTGAGGTGTTTTCCACTCTTTTGAAAAGATGCACAGTTTTTTGCGAAGTTCCCATTGTAGGCATGACGGTAATTCACTCATGTATAGCTGAGCAATGTTTAAAGGAGCTTTCAGATACTTATGGAGTGAGTAAGGCAGAAATTGCTAACCTTCTTCTCACAACTAACTCCTTTTATGACAGCAGTCCAGGCCAAGAAAAACTACTGCAGGATGTTCACATCATCTTTGTGAGGAGGCAACATTCAGCCACAGATAAAGATGTCTTATTTTCACCTCTTATCCAAGATATCATGAAAGAAACCCCAGGGATGGAAGAGACTGTTCTTCTCAATGTAGCGGAGCTTCTCAAAAATGATGCAATGATGTTTCAGCTCCTTGCCAGGTATTACATTAAAAAACAGGACTTTACCAAGGCCATGGACTGGGCAAAGAAGGCCAAAGAACACTCAATGGGCAATTCATATCTATGTGATACAGTACCTCAGGTACTTATGTGTGAGCTTGAGTATGCTTTTGATGAAGACAAAGACGATCCCATCAAGCAAGACAGTCTCGATAGGCTTCTGACACTGGCTGAGTCTGCTACTGAAGCTTGCAAAGAAACACAGAAAACTGCAATAAAAGAAGCCGAAGCTCGACTAGAAAGCGAAGATGATTCTGAAACCTACAACACTGCAGGCCATCTCAGTCACCTTCAAACTGCAGGTACAGTTATAAAAATCCTGCAAAAGATGCCGCTATTTAACTTAAAAGACACTCGCAACAACTGCCTCAGTCAAGTCCTCATGAGTAAAATTACTATTGAAGATTTGCTCAGCAAGAATCCCAGACTTAAGCCGTACTACCCGGTATTGCTAAAGCATAAGAGATATCTTCTTCAACTAAAAGAGAGGATGAAGGAAAATTTTATCTTTCTTAACAATTTTCTTGTCAATTTAGTTCCATTTTTTGCTGAGAAAGACAAACAAAAAGAACTGACAATGCACAGGATGTCCAAGTACTTTCAACAGTACACTGACCTCTTTTGTGACATTAATTGGGGTGAGCTGATCAATAACAAGCACGTAAATAGCATGGCTAAAATTGAGCAGACACGCCAATGTCTGGAGAAGAACAAGGGAGATTCCTACACAGGTCTTCTGGAGCAATTATATCAGGACAACTCTGCATCAACTCTTGAAGAGATCATCCAGCAGTATCGTTTCATTGCTAGATTACAAAGGGATCAACCCTTGATGGACACAGTCAACTTTATATATGCCAATGTAATTCTGGCCAACATCAAACCTGAATCTCAGTTCATCATGCCTTACCCACACCTTTGTGAATTACTACCTCATATAAACATACAACCCGCATCTTTCAGTGAGATCCTGCCATTGCACTACATCACAATTTTATTGTTATGGGAAGAGGGGAATGTTGCATTGCCAGCAATTGTGTCACAAATGAAGGCATCATATTTCACTGAACTGAATCCTGTGTCTAATGGAAAAAAAGCAGCAGTCCACTTTTACCTAGGGAAATATGAGGGTTATGCTGGCCTGATATCCCAGAGAGATATTAACTGCTGTTTAGCACCAGGGCAGGACATCGCAACTCAGTGGGATGATGAAAGTATATGGAACAAAGTGAGAGACAGTGAAAAACTTCTCAGAGTTTCTGGTGAAATTCGGGATGGCTTTATCAGTGTTGCTGGCATCATGGTTGATCCGATGTTCAGAAGCCAGATATATAAAGAATCTGGCACGAATGTGAATTGCTTCATCGGCTTCTCAATGAATGGACCAGTCGCACTTGACATTGACTTTGAGTAAAAAGCTCAAAAGCTTGATCTCACAGGGATACAGAACACAAATGGGAAACGTTTTTGATTTCCAATATAAAGTCCTGTAGCTGTTCTCATTTTTAGTTTGCTTCTTCGTCATATCTGACACACAACAGCTAATATAAATCATCGATCACTGGTGTTCATGTTTTTAAACTTAGTTTGTAATGTGAATTTCCTAAAAACAGGACAGTGGCCGCAAATATATAGACTTCCAGAGAGAGCCTGCATGAACAAATGCTGTATTTCACTGAAACTGGGATTTCTTATGTTTCTTTACTTGCATTGATGATTGTATTTTACCAATAAATTGATAGTTCATTTACTCATTTGTCATATATGTTCATTATTATTTGTTTACTTTTATTATCAAAGAAAAGTCTATAAAGATAGAGCCTGTTTAAGTCTCAAACTGTATTCCTGGAGGGCCGCAGCTCTCAAACACAGCTGATGAAACTAATCAAGATGTTCAAGACTACAAGGGACTTTCAATTAGGTGTGAGTTGGAGGTGGTTGGAGATAAACTGTGCAGAGTTGCGGCCCACCAGAAATTGTTTGCCTGTAATAAACCCTGCATTTGGATCCCCACCTCCCTTGTCAGCATCCACTTCACATTACAATGTTAAACTATAATTAATAAACACTGTACATTCTAGTATATATAATAAAGAATAGTTCACTCAAAAATGAAAATGTACTCACTTATATAGTCATTCTAACGTGCTTATAAACGTTTATGAGATTCTTTCTTCTGTTGAACACAAAATAGGATATTTTGAAGGAAGCGCAAAACCTGTAACCATTGACATAGTAGTAGTAAAAACAAATACAATAGAAGTAAATGGTTACATGTTTTAATCATTTTTCAAAATATTGTTTTGTGTTTAACAGAAGAAACAGGTTTGGAAGAAGTGAAGGATGAGTAAATGATGGCAGAATTTACATTTTACTGTCCCTTTAACTAACATTAATGAAATCCATTGTAATGTATGGCCTATATACATTAGGACAGTGGTTCTCAAACTGTGGTACGTGTACCACTAGTGGTATGCAGGCTTCCTTCTAGTGGTACGCGGAGGAATGAAATATGTCATGCAAATGCTACACACATTTCAAAATTTACAAAAAATGATATATATAATACGACATGTATGACATGTAGCCTATATTTCTGAGATAATCTGCTACGTTTTTTTACTGTGCAGAGTTGTAGCTGCTTTACTGGGCCTACTACGCGACTGTATTTCAATACTGGTCATTTTTGGTGGTACTTGGAGAGACGATTTATTTCTGAGGTGGTACTTGATGAAAAAAGTTTGAGAACCACTGCATTAGGACATCTCAACTTTATAATTCAGTTTAACAAAAATATTAGAGTAAATAATGCCTCATTATTTAAAGTAGACAGCTAAGTTAGACTACTTATTGGGTCAAAATGCTATTAAAACCCATTTAAGTAAGTCTTTGCTACACGAGTAAATCTCTGAGCTGCTTTACTAATTAAAACCGCTAATTATTGTATTGTACTAAACAATAGTGCATTTTCTATAACAGTGAAGGTCATGAAGATATCCAAAGACAGATATTACGATCCGTCATTAAAAATCTAATTCGTCTTTGACAATTTATTCTAGTATGTTGACTTTATTTCCTAATTAATTCAATGCTATTTGCTTTTGTAAATTTTCACATTCGAAACTAAATTATTATTTGGACTTTTATTTTGTAATCGAACAATCGTGCTTTTATTTTGCAATCACCAGAGGCGTCTGAATCAAGGACCTCCACACAGGCATCTGATGATACTGCCGGCTGACACTATTCATTTGATAAAATAAACACAGCAGTGTTTTGTCTCCGCATACAGGCTCGGATGCAGCCGAGGATGTTGGTTTTAATTATAGTCAGCCTAATCTGACGAATGTCTGTGGTGTTTAAGGGGGAAATGTGTGGATTTATGGAGTCAGAGCTTTAAATGAGGATCATGGCGTTTCCGGAGGGAGAATCACTCGAGTCCTGGCTCAGTACGTGCACTGTTATAATTTGCATTTCATGATACATTGAAATAACATTACAGTGTTATGTTTACGTCGCATGCATCAATTCCGACCCGTCTGACTGGTTTGTTCTGCTTTTTCAGCGTTGTTTTAAATCATACTATAACGAAGGTTCGCTCATGAAAATGTATTACCTCATATTGACGTTGCCTGGTAACCTTCTCGGGGCGTCCAATCAGGATGCATAAAGAATATCAAGCGAAGCCTTCAGCATAGTGGGATCTGTTAAATCGCCAGCGCCCACTTGCAAGCGTCTGCCTTCCAGCCAATCGGATATAGGCAGTATACGAACGCCACGCCTCCTGATTACTATTCACAAGCCAAGCCTTCTCTGTAGTATGCTTTATAAAATCAGAGATTGATAGATCTAGCGATGCGCTGCGTTGAGATTAAAGTTCAAAGTCTGTGTTTATCTTCATGTATGATAAGTTTACCCAACGAATTTACAGCAGGGATTATTAATAAATGACTAAATAAAATTTTTTACCGATTTAATTTAATGTGTCAAATTGAACACTATTATAATACAAATAAATGATTTCAGACATGCTCTCTACATCTAAGTTTTAGTAATTTATAGTAAATACTGTATTTTTGAATCATACTAAAGTGGATTGTATTCAACATATTGCAGTATTTACAACACTTTGTTGATGAATGCTCTAGCATACTGCACTATATTCACTATAGTATAGTACGCTAGTGTTATACAATACTGTGGTATACTTTAGTTTTTACTACAGTAAACTGTGGTGTTTTCTAGTATAATATATCTTATAGTTGTGAAAAACTAAACTGTTGTTTTGCCATAGCAACAATAGAATCATCACAACAGATTAATTGATTTGTCATAGCAACGATATAATCACCACAGCAGATCAATTTCTACAATTGTTATTTTGCCATAGCAACAATAGAATAATCACAACAGATTCATTTCTACAGTTGTTGTGTTACCATAGCAACAGTAGTAGCACCACAATAGAATGATTACTATAGTTGTTGTTTTGCCATAACAACAAAAGAATCACCACAAAAGATTAATTTCTACAGTTGTATTACCATGGCTACAATAGAATCACTACAACAGATTAACTGCTACAGTTGTTGTTGTTTTACCATAGCAACAACATATTCACCACTACAGATTAATTTCTACAGTTGTTGTTTTGCCATAGCAACAATAGAATCACCACAACAGATTCATTGATTTGTTGTAGCAACAATAGAATCATCACAGCAGATTAATTTCTACAGTTGTTGTGTTACCATAGCAACTGTAGTAGCACCACAATATAATTATTACTATATTTGTTGTTTTGCCATAACAAAAGTATCACCACAACAGATTAACTGCTACAGTTGTTGTTTTGCTATAGCAACAATAGAATCAATACAACAGTTTAATTTTTACAGTTGTTGTTTTACCATAGCAACAGTAGTATAACCACAATGGATGAATTACTACAGTTGATGTTTTGCCTTAGCAACAGTAGTATTACCACAATAGATGAATTACTACAGTTGATGTTTTGCCATAACAACAAAAGAATCACCACAACAGATTGTTTTGCCATAGCAACTATAGAATCACCAAAAACATCAATTTCAACAGTTGTTGTGTTACCATGGCTACAATAGAATCACTACAACAGATTAACTGCTACAGTTGTTGTGTTACCATGGCTACAATAGAATCACCACAACAGATTAACTGCTACAGTTGCTGTTATGCCATAGCAACAATGGAATCAATACAACAGTTTAATTTCTACAGTTGTTGTTTTACCATAGCAACAGTAGTATCACCACAATATATTAATTACTATAGTTTTTGTTTTGTCATAACAACAAAATAATCACCACAACAGATTAAATGTTTTGCCATAGCAACAACAGAATCTCAACACCAGATTAATTTCTACAGTTGTATTACCATGGCTAAAATAGAATCAATACAACTGTTTAATTTTTACAGTTGTTGTGTTACCATAGCAACAATAGCATCATCACAATAGATTAATTTCTACAGTTGTTGTTTTGCCATAACAACAAAAGAATCACCAAAGCAGATTAATTGTTTTGCCATAGCAACAACAGAATCTCCACAAAAGTTTAATTTCTACAGTTGTTGTGTTACCATAGCAACAGTAGTATCACCACAATAGATTAATTATTACAGTTGTTGTTTTGCCATAACAACAAAAGAATCAACAGATTAATAGTTTTGCCATAGCAACTATAGAATCACCAAAAACATGAATTTCAACAGTTGTTGTGTTACCATGGCTACAACAGAATCACTACAACAGATTAACTGCTACAGTTGTTGTGTTACCATAGCAACATCAAAATCACCACAACAGATTAATTTATACAGTTGTTGCTTTGCCATAGCTACAATAGATTCACTACAACAGATTAATTCAAGTATTTCACTATAGTTCGGTATTACCTATAGTATTTTTTTCAAATGGACCCATGTGCATACCACGCATATACAATAGTGCAGGATTTATTATGGATCTGTATATTATTACACACATCCTGGAATTTTACTTTATTTCTGCCATATTGTCATTATTGCTGAGTGTAATATTGATATGCGTCTCTGTGATTGGCCCTCGCACTACTGTGCCAGTGTATCGCAGACACAGAGCTCAACGGGGCCGATTGTTTGGCCCTCACGACTGTGTTTGTCCTCCACAGACAAAGCCACACACCCAACCAACAGGCAGGAGGACTGGGAATATATAATCGGGTTCTGTGACCAGATCAATAAGGAGCTGGAAGGGTGAGCATTCATAATTTAACTACTACACAAGACTCCAGATTCTCCTCTGACTGTGTGTTTGTAGTCCTCAGATAGCTGTGAGGCTCCTGGTTCACAAGTTCTGCGCTCAAGAATGGGAAGCCCTTCAGGCGCTGACGGTGAGGGGTGTTTTAAAGAAACACTTCACTTTTTTCTTTGATAAAATATGCTTATGGTACAGCTCCCCTAGAGCTAAATGTTTCACCATTTTTGAATCCATTCAGCCGATCTCAGATCTGGCGTGAACACTCTTAGATTAGCTTAGTATAATTAATTGAATAGGATTAGACCATTAGCATTTTGATCAGATATAATTTTTTCTATATAAATCTAAAATAAGAAAACTTGCAATTCTCTGTCGATATGGCCAGGAACTGTACTCATTTTGGCGTACTATTCAAGGGACTTTGCTGTTGTACCATGATTATAGTAGAGCATTTATATTACACTGTGCCTGAAAATCAATTCTAATCTGTTTAACCAATGTCAGCATCTGCTTGCTTGAGGAGCTCTTTTTGTAACCATGGTCACATCTGTGAGAGATGATTCAGTAAACATATTTACTATAGTATTTGTTTACTGTGTAATATTGTAACAAAACACTCAAAAGACGTTTAGGGACTGAAGACACCAAGAGATGAAGTGTTTCATGGTGTCCCATTCTTCCTGCAAACCTTCGGGTTCTTCGTTGTCACATTTTGTGCTTCAAAGTGCACCTCAGATTCTCTATTGGAGACAGGTCGGGACTATAGGCAGGCCAGTCAAGTACCTGTATCCCCTCCTCCACAGCCAGGACTTTATAATGTGTGCAGAATGTGCTTTTGCTTTGTCTTGTTTGAATATGCATGGGCCTGGAAAAGAGGGCAGCATGTTGTGCTCCAAAATATTTTCAGCATTAATGGTGCATCACAGAAGTGCAAGTTCTGGCTTTTGGACTTGTTGCTAGTAACAGTCTGGATGATCCTTTTATTCTTTGTTCTGGAGCACACAGTGTCCATTTCTCCTAAAATAATACCTGAAAAACTGATTCATATGACCACAGTACATGTCTGTGTGATGGTCCATTCCAAATGCATCCCAGCCAAGAGAAGTCAACGGCACTTCTGGACACTGTTAACATAGGGCTTCCTTTTGGCACAGTACAGTTTAAACTGTCATTTGTGGATGTAACTGCGTATTGTGGTACTTGACAAAGGTTTGCCGCAGTAATCTTGAGCCCATGTGGTGATATGGCTAATAGATGAATGAGGATTCTTGATGCAGCGCCACCTGAGGGATCGGAGATCACGGTAGTTCAGCTTAGACTGATTCATTGATTTATGCTAAGCTAAAGGTGTTCACGCCAGTTCAGGAGGTTGTCTGAATATATTAAAAGATGGCAAAACTCAACTGTTTAACTCTAGGAGAGCTGTAAAATGAGCATATTTCCAAGTGGAGTGTTTCTTTAATGCTCGTCCAGCATCACAGCTTTACTATGAGTTTCTGCACAGATGACATGATGTGTGTGTGTGTATGTGTGTCTGCAGGTCCTGGAGGCCTGTATGAAGAACTGCGGGCGAAGATTTCACAAAGAAATAGCCAGATATAGATTTTTAAATGAGCTGATTAAAGTGGTTTCACCTATGGTAAGTGGTTTTCCTGTTATACATAGTTTTTTTTTAATTATGTCTGGTAACACTTTTATTGAAGAGAGTTTTCATAACACTATCATGACACCTTTGATGACACGCTATGAATGCAAAGGAGATTTTATGCATGCGTCTGACTTATTAAGTGTCATTTTAAATGGAAAGGTGACATTGTTTGTCATGAATCTGTCATAAATCTGTCATAAACATGATCACCATGAGGCCTTTATAATCTTCATGAATATTTTTCTGATCACTTTTTTTCTGTGTAACATACTGAGTTTGTAATTAAAATTACCCGTTAAAGGAGTCTGTACTCTGTCAGGTAATTTTACAATGTGTCATTAATATTTAAGGGCATTTTAATACAAAAAAAAATTTAACAAAAATATATGAATGATTCTGAAATATAATTCTAATACCAATTACAATGGCTTCATTAGTAAATCTAAATCATGTTTATGGCAGATTTATGACAAGTTATGTTGTCTTAATAACATGAAGTTGTCATGACAAAGACAGGCTGTGTTGTATTTGTTTGTCAATTTGTTTGTAAACTTATCCAATGCTTTTATAGTGCTATAGTAATATCAGCTCTTAAATGTCAAACGATTAGGGGAATTTTGATTCGAAAATCTTTGGGATTTGCTGATATATTTATGCGCAAGTTCTAGAACTAGATGTGTAATTTGACATGTTAAAATTATTGTGTGTGTCTGTGTGTTTCAGTACATGGGGAACAGTATTTCAGAAAAGGTGAAGAGTAAGATCATAGAGATGTTGTACAGCTGGACGGTGGCGTTTCCCAATGAGGCCAAGATAGCAGAGGCGTACCAGACGCTCAAGAGACAGGGTAAGATTTTACGCATACATGCACTCAAGCACAGACACAAACACGCACACACACATATGCATACAAACAAAAATGCACACATATACTACAAATATACATACAAACTCAAATCAGTGTTTCACCTACCTTTATATTAGGGGGGCGCCCCGCCCTCCCAATAGTTTTCCTCGCCCCCCTTGAAGTCAAGTTAAATGTATTTTCTATATAGCGCCAAATCACAACTTCTTTTAATAAACAAGATAAATAGTCATGTGTTATATCTTATTTACACAACGACATGTCATTTCTGTGTCTCATTCCCATACTCCCTGCTGTATGGAAATGAGAGTGAGCTCCACATCTGACAGGCGAATCATTTTGAATGAATCTTTTGCATGACTCGAGAACAACGAGTCTTCTCAGGGAGTGATTTGTTCATTTGTGCACGCCAACATTTGTGCAGGTGGAGTAGAAGATTAGTTCCTTTTTTTGTCTTCTATCGGGTTTGAGTCATTCGTTCATCAGGTGAAAGACAGAAGCCAATCATATGCATTTAGAGCCGACTCGAAATGACTCGAAAAAAGATTACTTTATCTTAAAGGGTCACGAAACATCAAAACACATTTTTTGAGCTGTTGACAGTCGTATATGTGTCCCACACTGCTAAAAACACTATTAGGACACCTATATTTCACTAAAAAGTGTAAATTGGTTGTTTTTGCGTTATTTTAAGCAAATTCGTACTTCCGGTTTGAAACGAATTTTTGAAGCTGCGTCACGGTCATGACATAATAGCGTGTATTCCAGCGTGCAGACTGGGCGTCTGTGCCAGAGTGTGTCTTATTACGTCTTACAGTGTGATGCATTAATGCATGAGTAAGGCTTGGTTCAAACCAATCAGCACGCTCTATTGTGCAACTTCATTAATATTCATTACTGTCACAGTGTTTAGACGACAGAGACGCCACGTTGTGTTGGCAAAACAAGCGTGAAGTGTTGCTTTTATAGTTTGCTGCAGTTAAGTTTTGTTTTCATTTTCTCTCTGTGAGAGTTCAGCTGGAGTTACGTGTGGATTAACAGTGTACGTGACGCTCGATAACAATAACTTACGTGTCTAAGGAGGATTATTGTTTACCTGAGAGCTGTTCTCATCTGCAAACGCTGAGATCCAGATTCGCTTGTAGTCTTCTCTTAATAAAGACGCGGCTCTAGTTGTCCTGTCTCTACAGATTTGGTAAGTGAGCGACCAGTGCTCTTTGTTTATTCAGTTTTTTCGTATCGAACAAACTATTGCACCGAGTGTAAACATGTTAGCACCACAACCAAACTTTTACCTCGTGTAGGATTTTCACCGCATTTTGTGAGCGGAATAACACATGCAGCTTTCTGACGCTACCTGCCGTGTGCATCTAAGTTTCCGGGAAATGCGGAGAGTTTTTTTTTTTCTCATTCGCCGTGCGGTATCAAACGTTGCATGAAAAATACACGCTTAGAGCAGTTCCTCGAATCAAATATCTCGATTGTCGCGAGGGACATGAATGAATTCCCTGAATGAAAGAGCCAAACTGCAGTTAAAGTCCACCATTTAATAATTTGCCAAATAATTAGACCACAGATGTCCATGTAAACAAAGTCACTTTGTCCCCTGTGTGTGTGTGTTTTGACTCTGAAACTCAGCGCGCCCAAATAGACACTCCCACACTATGCCTGGACAAGCCCACTTTTCTGACTTTTTCCAAAGTAGAGGTGTGAAAACACCCTGCTGAAACGAGGGGGTTTCATGGCCCTTTAATGAACGAGACTCAAAGGTTCAAATGAGTAAAATGATCCGAACTACACCGGATGACAGGCTTTGACCCAACTTGGCTGTCAGAGCAGCAATACTCCCCCAGCTGTACAACACGGATCTTGGTAAGCAAGTCAGTGAATACACACTTAGGAAAAAGTTTACTTCAATTTTTGTAAGTATACCTAAAGGTCAAAAATTCGTATACTTTAAGTATACTAATATCAATGTACTAGTAGTGTACTTATAGTGTTTGAGACAAACTGGCCCACTTTCTAGTTTTTAAAAATATAGTTTTCTATTATAAGTTTAAATTAGCTTCTATTGCCCTGCCAGGTCCAGTCAGCAGTGTAAACTCAACCATGAACACGGATGTTTAGCTGAAATAAAAATCTGGCTTTCAGCTAACTTTTTAAAATGAAACAGCGACAAAACTGAAGCCCTTCTCATCGGCACTAAAAGTGTTTTGGATAAAGCTGATAATTTCACTATAGACATTGATAACAGTACAATTTTTACCTCAGTGCAGGTAAAGAGTTTGGGTGTCATCTTGGATAGCACACTCTCATTTAAAGGTCACATCAATAATATTACACGTACTGCATATTTCCACCTGCGTAATATCACTCGTCTCCGCCCTTCTCTCACAACTAATAACACAGCCATTCTTATCCACGCATTAGTTACTTCACGTCTAGACTACTGTAATGCACTTCTTTCTGGACTTCCTTCCAAGCTTCTCTGTAAACTCCAACTGGTTCAGAACCATGCAGCTTGTGTCATCTCTAGGGCCCCATCTCACGAGCACGTCACACCACTCCTCTATCAGTTTCATTGGCTTCCAGTAAAGTATCGAATTGATTTTAAAATATTACTTCTAACTTTCAAGGCACTTCAAAATCTCGCTCTTCAATATCTCACTGAACTTCTCCATATCTGCACCCCTTCTCGTACCCTTAGATCAGCCAACAACTTCACCCTGGAACCACCTGGCACTCGTTTTAGCACAATGGGAGACAGATCTTTTAGCTCTATGGCTCCTTGGCTGTGAAACTCACTTCCACTAGATCTTAGGAGCAGTGATAGTCTTCACAATTTTGAATCACGTCTAAAGACCCATATTTTTAAGCAGGCTTTTACTTAACAATTGTTTGATCATGTTTTTATTATGTTCTTTTATATTCGCTGTTGTGTTTTAACTTGTTTGGTCAATGATTGTTTTTAGTAATTTTTTATTTGTTTAGCATGTCTGCTGATGCTTATTGTAAGGCGACCTTGGGTGTCTTTAAAAAGAGGTGCCATTTACAAATAAAATGAATTATTATTATTATTATTAAATAGTTTTTACAACAACATTTGCTGCTTTAAGCTCAATTTTAACAGTTAATGTATTTGCAGGTCAAGACAAATCATGAATGATAAAAAAACATCAGCTTTCTGAGTAATAGCACTCGTGTTTTTTTCAGGACTGGTGAAATCAGACCCGGAGCTGACGGTGGACAAAACCCTTATCCCGTCTCCTCCGGCACGACCCAAAAACCCGGTGTTTGACAATGAGGACATGGGGAAGGTGAGATTAAGTTTAGTTGTTAGAAATGATATGTTTTTTCTGCCTATGAATGCCCAGAAATGATGTTTAGTTTTTCTGACTGTTGTGATAATATCAGTTGCTGGCTGAACTTCTGAGGAGCAAAAACCCTGAGGACCTTCAGGAGGCCAACAGGCTCATCAAAAACATGGTGAAAGAGGTGAGAGTTCACACAATTTAATTCTGACGTTTAAAGTTGGACAAGGAGATCCAGTTTATATTCAGCTTAAAACAGCAGTTTAATGAATGTTTCACAAGGAAGGAAAACATTTTTAGTGTAATTAAAATAGTCTATGTAATATGGGTGAATAAAAGAGATAATACTTACATAACAAATTATTTGTTGATTATACTAAGGGGGCAGTTGAATGCTTGATTTTGATTGGCTGATGAGCAATCTCATTAATTGAGACAAGGGTTGCACACACAATGGGCTCTATTTTGACAGTCCATTCGCAAACGCTTTCAGGGCGAGTCAGAATCCACTTTTGCTAATATAAGGATAAAAAAAATCTGCTTTGTGCCGTGGCGCATGATCTAAAAGGGTTGAGTTTATTTTCGTAATTAGTATTAGGTGTGTTTTGAGAATAAACCAATCAGAGTCTCATCTCATCTCCCATTACCTTTAAGAGCCAGTTGCGTCACGCCATAAGCACATTTGCTTTTCACATAACGATTTTGTAAGTTAAAAAACTGAGCGTTTCACTAGCAAGAAAACAGTTATACAGAGCATCTACAGCGCGAGAATGAGAGATAAGGCATCTCATAATCTACTTTCGCTCTCGTGGATAGGGAAACCTTGTATGCACAGACATCAATTAGTTCTAATTTCCAGCAAACGAATAAATGAACAATAATAACAAAGTGTGTTCAAAATACTGAGCTATATTTTTATATATTAATTTTTTTATATTTATATCCTATATATATCCTTATTATTTAAATTATTTTTCATATGTAAAGATATTTGCGTATTGCTCTACATCTTGTGTGTATTAAGCAATGTGTAAGCGAGGCGCTCTGCACTGGACAATAGACCGGCTTTGATCTGGTCTATTAAAAAAAAATTATTATAGTTTCTCAAAATAGCAATGCACAAGCAATACACCTCAACACGCCTTCCTTTTTAGACCAGAACGCCTATGAGCGCACATATGAGCGCAAATGCATTTGCTATTTAAACAGCGTGCTGCAAAACGTCTAAACGACTCTTGCGCCAAGCTGAAACTAGCAAACAACTGTTGCGTCGCGCCTTGCGCCACATTGCGCCGGGTGTATGATAGGGCCCAGTATGTGTTTTTCCTCCTCAATGCACTACTTTTCTATTGTTTTTTAGTGTAAACATGCACTGGACGGACGTGTGTAACTGTTACATTTGCGTCTTTTGAAGCACCGCGCACATGAGCAACTCTTGTGAGCTTTTGTTTATAATAGCAAATTGACATGCCAACCATTTTATTTACCATTATATCATGCTGCATGAGGTGCTCTTTTTGGATTGCTTATCATAACATATTGTTATCGCATTTCTAGTTTTTAAGTTTGTTATTGTTGTTATTAGATCACATTCATAATATTGCATCACGTGGACCTCGCACTGGGCTTTTTCCAGCCCATTTCTGAGTGCCACATCAATTGTTTTTAGAAGCAAAGATGTATTCAGTGTAAATGAGCTCTAAGGCACAGATGTCAAACTCAGTTCCTGGAGGGCCGCAGCTCTGAAGTTTAGGTCCAACTCTAATTAAACACACCTGATTAAACTAATTGAGTCCTTCAAGCTTGTTTGAAACCTACAGGTAAGTGTGTTAGAGCAGGGTTGGAACTAAACTGTGCATGGCTGCAGCCTCCAGGAACTGTGTTTGACACCCCTGCTCTAGGGTGTACCCTTATTGCCCAATAAACACACAGATAAAGTAGTTTGGCAGGTTTTGAACACATTACAGCTCCGTATCACTACGCTGAATGATTTCATCAGTCAACAAAACACATCAAACACACAACAGAATGCTTTGGAGGAGATGTGTGAGAAACACAAGGAGCAGGTTGAGGACAAAAACCTGACGAATGTCTCAAATACATCATCTAAACCATAGCTTTAGGGGTGAGAAGCAGCGTATAAGCAGAATAATTCACACCAGACTGTTGAATTATTAGAAAATAATGCATAACCACCACCTCAGGTTGTGGTTTGAATTATTTAAAAAATAACGTGCAATAATCATCAATTCTTCCTCGCATTATGCATTTGAATGTTGTGCAGATGAAACTGAACTGTGATTTAGATTAATTGTGAAGTCTGAATGTGTGCTGTTAATGATGTTAAGGATGACGCCCGCGTGCACAAGCTGACCAAGCGCATCAACACGCTGGAGGAAGTGAACAACAACGTCAAGCTCCTGACTGAAATGCTGAGTCAATATGACAGAGAGCGATCGTCAGACGCCGACCGTGAGCTCATCAAGGTGAGAGCACACAAATAGCACTCATACATGAACAGAAAATGACTAGACTGATATGAGTGAAGAGTTTCTAAAGTGTATAAGCCTCACGTCTTTCCAAAACCTTCATTTATCATCAGCGCTCCAGTGCCTGAAAACTCTTCAGCACTTTAAAATGATCATAAAAACAGCACACGTGAATAAAGTGGGTTAATACACGTTTTCAGAAGACACAGATTTAATTTAGCCCGTGGCATTTTTATTTTGAGTTTATTATTAATATTTCAAGAGTTCACAATTAGCTATAACTTAATACCAGTTGCAGGTTTGACATGCTGTCCCGAGAGAGAACCCTGAGCTCGCAGATATTTGAGCCCAGGGCTCCTGCCTGGTTGATGAGCATGTGAGGGGGTCAGAGATCAGGTAGGTCTCGAGAGCTCCCCCTAATAAAGGAGGAAAGAGGGAGGTGGGGTGGAAGGGGGGATTCTTCAAAAATAAAGCTAATGAAAGTAAAACAAACCAGGCTATTTACTGAAGGCCTGGATTCACCTGATTAGTTTATCAATGATTGTTGATGCAGGACCAGCTGCGATCAATCATAGCATGTGATCCTCTCGAAATTAGTTAATAAAATTTCACTGTGGCCGAGAGCCGTGGGAACGAGGTGAGGCCACCGCGTAAGTGGATACACCTGCGGTGCGCACCTGCCTCGGATCACACGGAAGGAGCTCTGGACCATAAAAGGAGGACCGATGGCAGAGGAAGCCGAGAGAGGACCGGGCCCGGACATATTTTACTTTTGCTTTCAGTTTGACGGCAGTCTCTGTGAGGAGCTGCCGTCCGTTTGTTTTGCTTTAGACGGCAGCCTATGTGAGGAGCTGCCGTTACTGTTATTAATAAATACTTTAAATCTCCGTCGGTTCTCCGCCTCCTTCTTCCCGGCGGCCAAAGGGACGTAAACATTATTACAGTCAAAAGTAAAATATGTCCGGGCCCGGTCCTCTCTCGGCTTCCTCTGCCATCGGTCCTCCTTTTATGGTCCAGAGCTCCTTCCGTGTGATCCGAGGCAGGTGCGCACTGCAGGTGTATCCACTTACGCGGTGGCCTCACCCCGTTCCCACGGCTATCGGCCACGCCCCCTCGCCACATTCACGTATTCATTTGAATATTTATCCTAGAGTGATAACCCAAGAGTTTGCTGCTTGGGTAGGTAGTTTGAGCTAACTGGAGTATATACTCTAAAAAAATGCTGGGTCGTCACAACTAAATGTCGGGTCAAATACTGTTTGGACAATGGTTGGGGTAAAAAAAAAAATTCTTAATTAAATTTGAATTGAACCTTTTAAACCAGTCGCTGGGTTTATTCATAGATGACTCAAGATTGGGTTACAACAGCCCAACAGTTTTTATAATGTTGGTGACCTTGGCCATAGTGACTAGTTTTTAAGCTGATTGCCACCTAGATCCAATTTAATCATTCAGAAATCTTAAAGTTTGTTTAGTTCTGTTTTTGCAGCATAACAGTAGTTTACTTCGACAGGACTGTGTGGTTTCATCATAAAATAGAACAGAATTTGATCAAGCTTGGTGAAGTCAATTTCAGTTTTATGTCATTTTGAACTTAGTAATTAGTTTATTAGTGTAATAAACTGGAGAAAATGTAATGTAACATTATGGTTACATTGCGGTAACTTAATATGTCAAAGAAACCTCAAAATGGGGAAAAGCTAATTCCTGCAAAAATGACGAGAAGATGGACCAATTTAAGACAAGGCTGCTGCTACAAATTAGCTGTAAAAGACAGACAATCACATCAATTCTGTTTGCTATTAACTTTAACGTGACCAACAAAGTAACCTCAGCAACTATCACCATATCATAACCCCCCACCCCCCTAAAAAAGTGACCTTTAGTGACCTTATGGGGCTCAATTTTTACAAGTTAGGCGCAAAGTCTACAGCGCATGGTGCAAAAGCATTAAGAATCTACAGCAGCGCATGGTCTAACAGGGTTGTGCTTATTCTCTTAATGAGTTATGGGTGTGTTTTGAGAAGAATGTGCATTGCAAATCCAAGCATGTTTTTAGTAAAACAAATATAAATATGCATATAATAATACTAATAATAGTCATCATAATAATAACATTATACAAATTCAGATTGTCTGAATAAAAGGCCGTGAGGTGAAGAAGGCATGGAGGCGGTGGTTTTTATATTTATGTAGAAAATAATAAAGTTTGTAACATTTTAATCCTTTAACTGTTTTCATTTGTAAAGATATATGTGTGCTGCTGCATATCCGGTGTTTATTAAGCCTTTGAACCCACATAAGCGCATAACTAACGCACTCGGCGCTGCACTTTGGAGCAACTTTTTTTAGTTGCCAACAGTGTGGTCTATGTTAGTTCCTCAAAACAACAACGTGCCAACAATGCGCCTTAACACACCTCTTTTCTAGAACGGCACACCCATGAGTAGGCCCACTCGGAATCTGCGCGCGCAGAATTCGGCAGATTTTCCGCAGAATTCAGCAGATTTCTGCAGTTTTTTTAGCCTATTATAAATTCTGTTTATTTTCTTGAGTAAATCGGAATTTATTTAGTTTTTATTCAGTAATTTATAACTTTTTATTTAATATATTAAAGTGTAAGTTATGATACTCCGCTGGATACTCACAAAATAATTCAGCAGAAATCCGCAGATTTTTACCAAAATTCTCAGCAGAAATAGCAAAAAACATCCGCAGATTCTGTCTGGCCCTACCCATGAGTCCACAAAATGGCACAAATGGATTTGCTATTTAAACATTTTAAACAAAGTACTGGTGCTATTACTGAAAATAACAACCAATCACGCCAAACCTGTCTTGCTCCTTATACAGTAAGTCCTTGGACTTATTTTTCAGTATATCCAGCATTCCGTATGTGGTTGATTGGTATTATGTTAAATCAATACGGAAATGTTTGCAAATAAGGTTTTATTTGCTAAGCTCAGTTTTTTTTTTAATGGAAGATCTTGCGTTTATCTATGTGTCTACAGATGTATGATCAAATGGCCAGATTTAAATAAGCGTGTTTGAGGTTAATGTTAATATCTGTTTAGTGTCTGATTTTACTGTGCTGTACAGTATTTTTAATGATACAGTACAATACAGTATCTTTATCTTCCTACGATTAGAGCTTCTATAATGAATCTAATGAGACAGAGCGTGTGTATGTGTGTGTGTGTGTAGGAGCTGTACGAGCGCTGTGATAAACTCAGACGCACTGCCTTCAAACTGGCCACTGAAGCCGAGGACAACGACTCCAGCCTGGGTAAAATACACACCATTATCTACTGTATATTATGATGGAGGATTGTGTGTATGAACTGCTGATTATTATTTGTGCTGCAGGAGACATTCTCAAGGCAAACGATGATCTGTCCAGAGTGATCAGCTGCTATAAGCGAATCGTTGAAGGACAGGCGGACGACGGTGAGGCTGAAGAGCTCAGACCGGCTGCTAATGAAGGTGATCTATAATGTACATCTCAGGCTTACTCTGTTTACACCTGATATTACCATGTAGGTTCATCAGGATATTCTCTTATCAGTCCTGATTCTAACATTCAGCATTTTGCAAAAATGTAGCAAAAGCTGGTGTTTTTATTCGTTTCCATTCATGCTCATAAACTAAAAAAATATATATATTCAGGAAAGCTACTCAATATATCGAATAATTATCATTATTGTGATAATAGTTCATACAATGCCAGCATGTTTGGAGTTGTTGCTGTATTTTTGTAGTTTTTTTGTCAGATAATGTGATGGTTAATTATGCTTAATACGGTTTTGCTTTACGTGTGGTCGGTGTTTAGAGTTTATAAAGGACGCGGACCAGACGGAAACACCAGACATACTGCATCAATGTGTTCAATATTTTAACGAGGGCCACTCGTACGCTATAATTATGGACATTATGTCAAGTCTACACGGTGTAAACATCTGCTTGAGGACTCTTAACAGTAAACTGAATGAAGCCGGTGTTACGGTTTAACTGGTGTCCGTGTTCACTGAGGCCCATTTTCAGATGTAAACTATTCATGTTTAAAGATTGGCAGATTCGTCACTTTTTCACTGCAATAAAACATGCCCATACCAAATAAAGATTCTTATTACTTGATGTCAGTGTAAACATTATTGATTTTAATATTTGTGTGGCAAAACAGTGTATAACGAAAATTATTGTAAAGAAATAGCTATAATTAACATGTCATCAACTGAATTCGAACTCAAGTTAAAAGATTCTGCGCGAGTATCAATCGACATATCAACTGAGCTACTCAGGTCTACAGGTTGGGGTTGGTTTTGATATCTTTATCAGTCAACATGTGCCGTGCTTTGATTGTTTCCTTCTACCATGTACTTGCGTTTACATGTTTCTACACACTCTACACGCTGATATTTTCTCTGAATAGCTCTAATATGTTTTATCGCAGTTGGTCAAACCAGGATTTTTATAGTTGTAGACTCGTCGTAACCTGTGTCTACAAAGTCACACACGAGCTGATATTTTCCGGTGTGTGGTACATTCCCTTTCCGTAAGGAATCTGTAATTGTTAATTTGTTTCGGGACTTGTAAAAGTGTTTTGCGTCTTGTAAATTCTTTTATTAAAATGTAAATTTGTTTCTTGGTAAAATAGTTTTTCCTATGTAATTGTGTTTGATGACAGGTAAAAATGCTTTTCAACATGTAAATTTGTCTCGAGCTTTGAAAAAGATTTTTACACCTTGTAATGTTGTTTTGCACTTCCTGGCCAATCTGATTGGACAACACTGGAGTACATCACATCCGGTTGGTCAGTCGCATACTGTCTAGTTGCAGAAGTTTAAATATTTTAACAGATCCGCAGCTTAAATCGGATCTGAGTTGTCTGCATATGGAAATGATTGGAGCTCCAACCAGCTCCCAGACTACTCTAGGTCTGTCATTTGTGCAGTGGAAAGGCGGCTGTGATATCTGTATTGCAGAGAGCAATCCAGTAAATGTGTTTTCGACTACCTGTGGAAGAAGTCGAGAGTTAACAAGCTTAACACATTTCCCACCTGTACTTAGCATTGTTCCCTTGTCTGAACAGGGCAATAATGATTTTAAAGGTCCCATGAAGTGCTTTGAAATGTGCATTAGTTGTTGGATGTTTGACATAATCTCAACCGAAATGTGGAGTGGGCGGGTCATAGTGTTGCCCCTCCCCATTTTAAAAAGACAGCCAATAGCGTTTCGCTTTATCACAGCTCTGCCAGTGAGAGTGGTTGAACTCAAGTGCATCAGATGTAAAGCGTCTTGAAGGGGGCGGGGCATGTCAGATACTAGAGAGCATCTGATTGATCACGATTTGATGAGACACTGAAGTATGAGGTGATGTCAATAAAACCTTTGCTTTATTTAGGCGGAAGTGACAAACTACAGTTGAAGTCAGATTTATTAGCCCCCTTTTGATTTTTATTTTCTTTTTTAAATATTTCCCAAATGATGTTTAACAGAGCAATGAAATTTTCACAGTTTGTCTGATAATATTTTTTCTTCTGGAGAAATTCGTATTTATTTATTTCAGCTAGAATGAAACCAGTTATTAATTTTTTAAAAAACATTTTTGTGACAAAATTATGAGCCCCTTTAAGTAATTTTTTTGATAGTCTACAGAACAAAACATCGTTATACAATAACTTGCCTAATTACCCTAACCTGCCTAGTTACCCTAATTAACCTAGTTAAGCCTTTAAATGTCACTTTAAGCTGTATAGAAGTGTCTTGAAAAATATCTTTTAAAATATTATTTACTGTCATCATGACAAAAAATAAATAAATCAATTATTAGAAATAAGTTTTTAAAACTATTATGCTTAGAAATGTGCTAAAACAATCCTTCCTCCATTAAACAGAAATTGGGGGAAAAATAAACAGGGGGACTAATAATTCTGACTTCAACTGTACAAGCTTTACATGTTTATATCAGGTTTAAATCTTCTAAATGTGAATTTTGTCACTGTTTTGGTGCACAGTAGCTTATAGATATCCTAAAAACTAACAATACTGATTCTAACATCTAAAAAAACTTTATTTCAATTTTACAGGACCTTTAATAGCAGGTGTAAACAGAGCTACATATCCTCCTTTTGTCTGATAATGCCGTTGATGTTCTTCATGGTTTTTCTCCAGCATGTGAGAGCGGCACTGGCACACTCATTGATCTGGCTGGACTGGATGAACCTTCCTCTCCTCCTCCACCTCCTCCTCCAGCTCCAGCTCCAACTTTAGCTCCAGCTCCAGCTCCTCAGATTTCCTTAGCCACTCAGAAGGCCTCCTCCATTCCTGTGTTGCCACCTCCTCCTCGCCGATTGGCCGGTGCTCACGGCAGTCAGACGAGCAGCCCCAATCACAAAGCAGCAGAGCATCAGAGCTCTCTCTCCCTGCTGGACGACGAGCTCCTGTCTCTCGGTAAAACTGACGGGTTTTTCTTATCTGCTTGTTAAGTGTGATGTCACGTGAAGTGGCTTATGAGTTCAAGCGCTCTATCAAACTGTATGAGGAGACTCAACAAATGGTAGTAATAAATGTTTACAAAGTGATGTAATACTTTCCAAAAGCATGCTCGCAATCTATATATCCATGCCAGAAAGTGTATCCGATAGCCAGAAAGTGACGACTAAAAAGTGGTCACTAACGAATATTTTCTCAATTCCAATGAGTAGCGGCCTGGACCCGGAAACGTCACGACTTCACAAGCGGATAGCTTCAATAATAGTACTGCATTCCAAACGGTGTAAATCCAGCTCTGAAAGGGACTTTAGTATGGAAATGATCATGTTTGTGGGTGGTGAAGTGATGCAGTAGGTAGTGCTGTCGCCTCACAGCAAGAAGGTCGCTGGTTCGAGCCTCGGCTGAGTCAGTTGGCATTTCTGTGTGGAGTTTGCATGTTCTCTGCCTTTGGGTGGGTTTCCTCCGGGTGCTCTGGTTTCCCCAACAGTCCTATCACATGTGGTATAGGTGAATTGGGTAAGCTAAATTGTTCGTAGTGTATGATTGTGAATGAGTTTGTATGGATGTTTCCCAGAGGTTGCAGCTGGAAGGGCATCCACTGCGTAAAAATATATGCTGGATAACGACCAAATATTATTAAAGGGACTAAGCCAAAAAGAAAATGAATGAATGAATGATCCTGTCTGACGAATTAAAGAGTTTCACCAAAGCAACTTCAATGGTCTCTTCATGATGAAGGAGACTTCATGCGATTTGAAAATTATAACTTTTGATTATAATATTAGATAATACATGTGTTACTGGCTCGTAAAAAACACTTTAAAAAGTTTTGAAAACAGTTACCAGTTAATAAAAAGATAAAACTAATTAAAAACAAGATTAATAATTAATATTGTTGCTGTTGTTTTATTTATAGCAATAATAATAATAATAATAATAATAATAATGGTCAATCACGGTGGCGCAGTGGGTAGCATGATCGCTTTATAGCAAGAAGGTCACTGGTTCGAGCCTCGGCTGGGTCAGTTTGCATGTTCTTTCAGTGTTGGCGTGGGTTTCCTCCAGGTGCTCCGGTTTCACCCTCAAGTCCAAAGACATGCATGGCACTATCGGTGAATTGAGTAAGCTAAAATTGGCTGTAGGTTATGTGTGTGAATATAAAAGTGTATGGGTGTTTCCCAGTAATGGGTTGCAGCTGGAAGGGCATCCTTAAAACATATGCGTAAAACATATGCTGGAAGATAAAGGGACTAAGCCGAAAATAATGAATTTATGATTAATAATAATAATATGATATTATTATTAATATATTTAAAATAGTGATTTTTGATAAACAGTTGTTATTGTTATTTTGTATTATTAAGTATTTTATATATATTATACAAATACAAATAACCATTTTAATTTATTTTAAGAGATTTGAAAGTATTTTCCAGTAAATATATAATGTATAATAATAATGATACTATTATTATAAATAATAACTAATCAAATTGTTAATAAAATATTAATAATAATGATCTTAACCATAATATGAATCTTGCAACTTATTATTATTCAAAATTCTTTTTTTTATTAAATAATAATTTGGAAAATAATAGATTTGATTATTATTATAATTAGGTGGTTCAGTCCGCTGATAAATATCAGGGCAACCCCTTTTAAATAAGGGATTAAGCTGAAGGAAAATTAATGGATAAATTACTATTTATTATTAATAATAATATTATAAAAGATAATATAAACAACCTTCATATTAATCATGCATTTCCCTTTTTTATAATAATCATTATAAATGAAAATAAAAAACATAATTTTAATATTTTTTATGAATAATACAAATATTTTATTAATAATAAAAAAATAAGTATTAGTTAATGTATTTTTTAAATTATTGCACTAATTAAATGTAACATATTATTGTTTTATTTTCAGGACTGAACGACCCTCCCTCTGTGCCAAACAGACCAAAGCTGGATGATTTATCTGCTCAGTGGACGTCTCTACAGGTAGCACACACTAAACTCCAGATCTTCAGAGCGTATGCAGAACATTAATAATAATCCTCAGTATAATGTCTGTATTTGGCCATCAGGCTCCTGATCCGGGCCTGGACCTGTTTGGGAGCATCTCAGCTCCGAGTGCCGTCTTTCCGTCAACACACACTCCTGCACCGACCTCACACACACTCACACACGCTCAGGGCCTGCAGGAACTCTCCGTGTTGGACTTTGGAGGTGAAAAGAGGTAAACTTTCACTCTGAAACACCTCAGATGGACACAAAGGGCTGATGTTCTGATGCTCAATATTTGACTGAATGACAGGATCACTATAGGGTTTGTGCAGCTGCTGGAAATCCTTCAAAATGCTTGAATTTTAGTTTATTGTTTTAATGGTTTTATTTTTGAGTTTTATTTATGAGTTTTAGATTTTTAATAATAATAAAAATACATGCATCATTTTATTTTTATGGTTATTATTTATAGTAATAATAATTATATACATTTACTGAAAATTACTTTCAAATCTATTATATTTATAAATGGTTATTTAATTAAAAATATTTTTTAATCATTTAAATTAACAATCATTAAATTAGTTATTATATCATTTGTTATGTTTATATATATTTTTATATAATTTATATATTTTCAATAATAATAATAATAATAATTAATGTAATAATTTTTGATTATATCATATATTTTTATTTCCGCCCTTTGCAGAAGACAAAATGCATGAAGATAACAGCTTCGTGAGTGAATGACACATTAAATTGAATTAAATTTTAAGTAAGATAACACATTTAGTATGTGAGCAAAAAAGGCAATTTAAATGCCATTTAAACATTCTCTTGCAATACTCTACTGCAGGGGTCACCAATCTCGGTCCTGGAGGGCTGGTGTCCCTGCAGGATTTAACTCCAACTTGCCTCAACCAACCTGCCAGGGGCTGTGTCCGAAACCGCATACTTCCATCCTATACAGTACGCTAAAATCAGTATGCGAGCCGAGTAGTATGTCCAAATTCATAGAATTCGAAAATCAATATGCGAGAAGTATGACTTACTACTTCCGGCGAGATTCTGGAGTGCGCATCCCATTCACGCTGCGCTATCCCATAATGCCCCACGAGAGAATTCATGAATGGAAGTGAAGCGACGCAACTGACGCAGGTAGGTCACGTGACCATGACAAAATGGCGGATGTAGTACGTCCGAATTCCATTCATACTTTTCACATTCATACTGTATAGAACGTACTTTTCTAACAGCAGAGTAGTACGTTTCAATTCAAATGCAGGACCTGTGTTTCGGACGCAGCCTGAGTGTTTCAACTATACCTCGTAAGACTAAGCTAAGATGATTAGCTTGTTCAGGTGTGTTTGATTAAGGTGGGAGCTAAAATCTCCAGGACACCGGCCCTCCAGGAACAAGTTTGGTGACCACTGCTCTACAGCATGAGTGAAAAAACCTTCTCAAATATTTTGAATTCGGACCGCAATACCTAGTTCAGCCAGCCAATTCTCCACACTGCACTTTTAAATGAGAGTAACTTAGCTTTATATATGTGTGTGTGTGTGTGCAGTGTTTGTGGAGCGAGTGGCATCGCTGGAGGAGCGTTCGGTCAGTCTGCAGCAGTGATGTGCTCGGCAGCTCCTCTGTCCTCCTCTAACCCGTTTGTGAGTGCGCCACTGTCCGGATCTCCGGCTGTCTCCCGGGCTCAGGCGGTGACGGGCGGATCAGCTCCAGGAAGCCCTTTCTTTCAGCCCTTCTCATCTCCATCTCACTCTCTGCAGAGCAGTCCGGCCCGCAGCTCTGAACCCAGCCTGACCAACCTGCATGTCCCGCTTGAGGCCATCAGACCCAGTGAGTGACCGGTAGCCATTCTCAATCTCAAGGTTCGGTTATTGATCAGACCATTTTTCAGATGAGCAAAAAGGCTGAGACCAATGTAATTTGTGTTTCATTTATTACTAAAACAGTACTGCAAGAAACTTTAGGTTTCTCTCTAGAACTAGTAAGGCGGTCATTTTAACCATTTTAAAATGCACAATATATTGTTTGAGCATCAATATCGCAATGTGTGTATCCACAATAGTCACATCACACAATGATGTCCATGTTATTTTACGATTGATTGTTGAATTTCTGAATATATATATATATATATATATATATATATATATATATATATATATATACATACATATATATATATATATATACATACATATATATCAGTTAAATATATATGTATGTTATGTATGTACTATACAGTATGTACTATACAGTTAAAGTCAGAATTATTAGGCCCCCTTTGATTTTTATTTTATTTATTTATTTTTTTTTTATATTTCCTAAATGATGTTCAACAGAGCAAGGAATTGTTCACAGTATGTCTGATGATATTTTTTCTTCTGGAGAAAGTCATATTTGTTTTATTTAAGCTACAATAAAAGCAGTTTTTAATTTTTTAAAAAACATTTTAGTGTCAAAATTATTAGCCCCTTTAAGCTATTTCTTTTTTTGACTGTCTACAGACTTGCCTACTTACTCTAACCTACTTGGTTAACCTAATTAACCTACTGTAGTTAAGCCTTTAATTATAACTTTAAGCTGTATAGAAGTGTTATGATATATAGTCAAATATTATTTACTGTTATCATCATGGCAAAGATAAAATAAATCAGTTATTAGGAATGAGTAATTAAAACTATTATGTTTAGAAATGTGTTGAAAAAATCTGTTCTCCGCTAAACAGAAATTAGGGGGGGGAAAAGAGGTCCCAAAATTCTGGGGGGCTAATAATTCTGACTTCAACTGTGTGTTCTTGTAATTTATTTTATGATGCACTGACTGCACAGAACAATACTTAAAGATCTCAGTTGAACTAAATGGATGAAATCTTTCCAGATAGAGCTATTCAAGTCACCTGGTGAAATTATATTCATATTACAATATATGCTGTCGCTGTGACATTAAATATGTGTGCCTCTGTTGCCTAGCAACTTCTTTCTATTAAAAACATAAATTTCTGTTGCAAAAACATGTTTACTTCAGATATGTCTTTCAAAGCTGCATATTTAAGCTATTTCTTTTTTCGACTGTCTACAGACTAGCCTAATTACTCTAACCTACTTGGTTAACCTAATTAAAAAAATTATTAGAATTGAGTTATTAAAAACTATTATGTTTAGAAATGTGTTGAAAAAATCTGCTCTCCGCTAAACAGAAATTGGGCGGGAAAAAAGAGGTCCCAAAATTCTGGGGGGCTAATAATTCTGACTTCAACTGTGTGTTCTTGTAATTTATTTTATGATGCACTGACTGCATAGAACAATACTTAAAGATCTCAGTTGAACTAAAAGGATGAAATCTTTCCAGATAGAGCTATTCAAGTCACCTGGTGAAATTATATTCATATTACAATATATGCTGTCGCTGTGACATTAAATGTGTGTGCCTCTGTTGCCTAGCAACTTCTTTCTATTAAAAACATAACTTTCTGTTGCAAAAACATATGTTTACTTTAGATATGTCTTTCAAAGCTGCATATTCAGTGCCGCGAACAAGCCTTCTCCTCTGCTTGTGAAAGAGAAAATGAAAGTGAGGCCATGACATTCGCAGGTGGTTTTACGTAGCCTAACTATAGGCTGCATTACCAAAAAGATTGTATTTTTATTGTGATGACTTAATTAAATATGATGACAGACATTTTAATTTAAATATCTCAATAAAAGCTTTGAATGTAAAAATGATGTAACAATATAACGTCTTATATGAGAACTGTCAAAATGACCACTATGGTGATTGTAGTAGTTATGAATTCTGGTAGTTCCAGTGTTAACAAGCATAACTTAGAACCTGTAATTTTAATAAAAATAAAATCAAGAAATAACCAGCTGAATAAAAAATATTAAAAATAGTCTTCTCTACTGTTGATTAGTGCTGAATTTCAAAATTGAACATTATAATCTGGTACAACAACACATCATATTTATATTTTAGTGATTTATTTTAGTAATGATTTAAAGACTCACTCATAAAAACGTTGTTTCATTAATAGACATATTTTTTAAAGAATTATTCAGTAGCTGTGTTTCCATTTAAAGATAAAGATTGCATTTATGCACAACATTGTATTAATAATCCAGCATGCAGTGTGGGGTGTCTTAAGAAGAGTTGTATATTGACATTGGAAAGCAGCAGATGGATCAAGACAAACAGAAACATCACTGTACATCAGTGCTAAACAATCTATCATTTGAGCATCAATATCGCAATGAGTGTATCCGCAATAGTCATACTGCTGGATTAGGTTATTTATTAAAGATTAAAGGATAAAGATATTGTTAAAAATTATTTATACAATGATGAAGACCATTTTATTTTACAGTTGATTGATCAATTTCTGTATTATACTGTTATATTCCCCTGGAAACCTTTTTAGTTTTGCTCTGTTGTATTTATATACGCATGTAGTTAATTATATTTTATGCAGATGCACTGCCTAGAAAATGACTTGAAAATACCAGTCAGTTTAAAATAATCAAATCATCTGGTGAATTATATATCACAGCAAAACAAAACATTGCAGTATTATGCAGCCCTACTATGCATTTCTTATACTTATTCTTCTGTCAATTTTGGGATCCACCAGTAGAGTGATATAGATCTACTGCCAGGTTGGCGGCCATTAGATGTTTTTAAGTGTGTGTGATGTTTCTGTGGGTGTTTGTGTGCAGGTAAAGTCTTACCCGTGACGATGTATGATAAGGATGGAGTTCGAGTTCTCCTGCACTTTGCGATGGACTGTCCGCCGGGTCGACCGGACGTCCTGGTCATGGTGGTGTCGCTGCTTAACACGGCACCGCTGCCCGTGAGGAATGTAGTTCTGCAAGCAGCCGTGCCCAAGGTAAAACACTTGCGCCTGCAACACACACATTCACACAGAGTCAGATTCTGAATGATTCACTTGAGTCAAGTAATCTATCTATAAGCCCAACCCTGGAATACAGAAAACAGTGGCTGAGAGAGCTTAACGAGCTACAATTTAAGAAAACACATACAATAAAAAACATCAGCAAATTAAGAAACACAAACATATGAAGAAAACGCCTGCATTTACTCACAACACATGCAAATAGCACAGAACACAATGGAAATGATTCAGGGGGACCCTAAAATGTGACATGTAAATTTTGAATGAGTTTGACCTGTGCTTGACCTGTGCTGTTGTGTTTGTGTCAGTCTATGCGAGTGAAGCTTCAGCCTCCGTCTGGTACAGAGATCTGTCCCTTTAACCCCATCCTGCCCCCCGCATCCATCACTCAGGTCATGTTGCTCGCAAACCCGCTGAAGGTGAGCGCACACACATACGTACACACATACATTCACACATAACCACACTCAATAAAACATACAGTTCAAGTCAGAATTTTTAGCCCCCCTGTTTATTTTCCCCCCAATTTCTGTTTAATAATAATAATAATAATTCCTTACATTTATGTAGCGCTTTTCTGGGCACTCAAAGTGCTTTACACAATGGGGGGGGGGATCTCCTCATCCACCACCAGTGTGCAGCATCCACCTGGATGACGCGACGGCAGCCATTTTGCGCCAGATCGCACACCAGCTGATTGGTGGAAAGGAGACAGAGATGAAGCCAATTGGAATATGGGAATGGCCATGATGGACAGAGGCCAGTGGGCAGATTTGGCCAGGATGCCGGTTTTAAACCCCTACTCTTTTTCGAAGGACATCCTGGGATTTTTTAACGACCACAGAGAGTCGGGACCTCGGTTAAACGTCTCATCTGAGACGGCGCTCACTGAGCAGTATAGCGTCCCCGTCACTATACTGAGGCATTAGGACCCACACAGACCGCAGGTTGGGCGCCCCCTGCTGACCTCACTAACACCACTTCCGGCAGCAACCTAGCTTTCCCATGTGGTCTCCCATCCAGGTACTGACCGGGCGCAGCCCTGCTTAGCTTCAGTGGGCGACCATGTGAGAGTTGCAGAGAGCTAGCTGCCGGCTAGAAGAATTTTTCAGCACATTTCTAATCATGATAGTTTTAATAACTGATTTATTTTATCTTTGTCATGATGACAGTAAATAATATTATACTAGATATTGTTTAAGACACTTCTATACAGCTTAAAGTGACATTTAAAGGCTTAAGTTGGTTAATTAGGTTAACTAGGCAGGTTAGGGTAATTAGGCAAGTTATTGTATAACGATGGTTTGTTCTGTAGACTATCAAAAAATAAATATATAGCTTAAAGGGGCTAATAATTTTGACCTTAAAATGGTGTTTAAAAAATTCAAATTTCGAAAATTGCCTGAATCTGTTAAACATCATTTGGGAAATGTTAAAAAAAAAAAAAATCAAAGGTGGAATAATAATTCTGACTTCAACTGTACACACAGGTTTGCACACACATACATTCACTCACACATGCATAGACACACACACACACACACACACACACACACACTCACACATACACACAAACTTCATTTTGTGTGATTTATAAGCCGTTTTCCTAATGAGGACTAAAAATTGCACTGACAAGGTTAAAATTTACTGATATTTTTATACTTGTGGGGACATTTGGTGCTCATAACGTTGAATACAATATGCACAAAGATACACACGCATACAAACACAAACTTATTACATTTTTAAAAAATCTCTAAGATCAAATAATGTAATACAACATTCTGAAGTTTGTTATTATATGGTGTCATTTCAATAACTAATTAAAAATGTACAAATTTAAATTTAAAATATAAAATGTCTGAAGTCTTCTGATGTATTATTAATTATAATGTTGTTTTTTTTTCACTATAAATAAAAATTAGGGAGAATAATAAATATGTTTTCTAATTTTGTTTAAAATGTTAGATGTTTATATTATATAAAAATAAAATAATTAAATATATATATATTCTTTAAAAAAATTTATTGTTTAAGTGAAAAAATACATGATTGCATAGTTTAATGTTTAATGTTTTAATCGATTATAATGTTATTAAAA